TTGAGAAGGACTGTTAGAAAACAACCAATGTGTACCATTGCAATACAGAAAGCAGAGCCTGATTATCTAACAAACAAATATGGCTGCTGTCAGGTACACACAATATGTCATTATACTCAGAAATAGGTTAAAAAAAGACACACTAATAAGTTTAATGACATCAAGCTGATTTTGTTTTATTCTCTGTAATCATTAGATCTGAAAACAGACATATCCTGTAATATCTCCTTCTCTTCAGCTCTGCTCCTGCTGGCTCTGACATCAGTGCCGAAGAAATCACTCTGCTGCTGCTTTGCTGCACTGCGGCTACCTGGTAGGCAGGGCCAGATGAAGAGCATCATGGGCCCGGTGCTGAGGATTTTGGTGGGCCTTTTTATGGAATTGTCAGCTGTCACTGGGCCCTCTTCCTTCTGTCCGGGATGTGATTTGTAGTCTCTCTACATCTTGGGGCCAATGGTGGAGTGCCAGGGCCCAGTTGCAGCTGCGACCCTGGTTGTTCTGCCACTGACTCCAAGCTGGCATCCCGTTTGCGTTCACATCTCCCCACCTGCTCTGGTTGCTAAGAGCTCTTAGCAACCTAGGACTCTCTGGCCAGTGTCTCGCCCAGCTCCTGAAAACTAGACATGTGCACTGCCAAAAAATTTGTTTCGTTTCGTTTTAAATTCGGATTTGTGTTATTTCGTTTTTCGGGATTTGGGTGTGAAAGTCAATTCGGATTCGGAATTTGGATTCGGACGAAATTCGGTAGCGGTAGGTCGAACGTTCGTTTCGTTTTCTGTTGTTATTCGTTTCTTATTCGTTTCTTATTCGTTTCGTTCGTTCGTGACATTTGAGGGGGAAAAAATATTTTTCTCCTTCTCTAATGTCACTTTGCTCCAACGAACTAAACGAATAAGAAACGAATAAGAACAGAACGTTCAAACTACCGCTACCGAATTTCGGAAATGGAAATTCGGATTCGTTTGCATTCGTTATGTCTGTTATTCGGAATTCGGATGCATCCGAATTTCCGAAAATTCGTCCGAATTTCGATTCGGAACGAAACGAATCGCACATGTCTACTGAAAACCAGTGATGCCACTGGTTCGCAGAAGCTGGGTGAGATCCCAACCAGAGCTTCCCTGGTTGCTAAAAGCCGGGTGGAGAGATGTGTATGGGAGAGGGGTAGAGAGAGAGAAAAAAATGGCAGTTCTGCTGCTGTTCTGCATCAGGGGAGGCAATGATCTTCATTGATCTACAATGCCTCCTCAGGATCCCTAATGGAACAGTGCCCGGTGTTCCAGCACAGTGCCCCCACTGCAAATCTGGGGCCTTGGCTACAGTGAGATGCACTGCAGTTGTCCGAGTGGTGCCCCCATCCTAAAATGGTAAAACCGCACTCAGGCAGCTGCCCCTCCTGCCCCCCCTTGTCAAAAGAGACTTTTACTTGTGTATCTGCTGGCCACACTATTTTTCCATTCATCCAGAGAAATGCAGTCTCAGATTGGATTACTGACATGTTGTCACTGTGTTCTAACTCAGAGTAAAGTGAGGTCCATGGCCCAGTCTAGGCTCCAACAATTTCTCGGCAGAAGGTGAGGATGTGCTTCTCTGTTGAGGAGAGGGCTGAGTAACTATTTTACTTTACCCTGCATGGGCAAATAAAAGGTCACTTCAAGACCAGTAAAACAAGAAAACGTTCTGTATAATGGTGAGGATCTTAGTGGAGAAATGTTTCTGAGAGAAGTCGAGGTTGTGTGATTATAATATACATTGAGACAAATCCGGCAAGATTTTAAAGATGGCAAACAGCCAGTCTCAGAGTTTTGCCCCAAAACTGTGATTTTTCAAAGGCAGCTTTGAATGTGATTGGTTAAAGCTGAGCTCCAGGTATGATCTTTTATGGACACTAAAGCTGCCCATACACCTTACAATTATCTGCAGATTTTCTGTGGTCAGATGGAAAAAGTGCAACAGATTGGCCCAGGTGGAGATTACTCCATCCACACAGTTAAGTGTAGATGGAGGAATCTGTTGCACCTTTTCCATCTGACCACAGAAAATCTGCAGATAATTGTAAGGTGTATGGCCACCTTTACAATGGTCCAACTTGGCTCAATATACGTAAATCACTTTTTTAGTCAGCACTACATACAGTCAGAGCTGGTCTCTTCTGCGTGCTGCTCCAGTGGCTCTGCACACTGAACAATACAGAAAATGTCTTGCATTTGTCTCAGTGAATGCAAGGTGTTCTATGATTGGATGGTGGGTAGAAGAGGGCTGGATCACGCCACAACCTCCACTTCATCCAATCAGAGAATACTTTCTATTCATTGAAAAAAATACAAGACAAAAATACAAAAAAATACAAATACAAATACAAAAATACAAGTTTTCTAAATGGTGGAAGTGCCCAGCAAGTTACTTCCTGCGCTCAGCGTGCAGTGGGAAAGGCACCGGAGTCGCGCCCAGAAGAGACCAGCATGTAGCGCTGATTAAAAAATAGATTTTTAGCATCCCCAGCGCCCTTCCAGAGATCAGATATGCATACTTACATTGAGCCACACTGCACCAATGTAAGTGTACAAAAAAGATAATTCCTGGAGTTCTGCTCTAATATGGAACTGCCCAATCTTGGGCTTTGATAAAAGAGGCCAATGTCATTAATAACAAAAAATGTCATAAGGATAGCAAAGCTAACTATATTTTTTATAGAGAAAGTGCTAACTGAAAATGTAGAGTCCAGTAAAAAGTGAATAGACAGCAACGTGTCTATTCTGTAGCTTTAATTTAATAAAAAAATGTTAAAACTCTCTGTACTATTTAAAAAAAATATCACTCAATAATAAGGAGCTTATATACAACATGCATTGGTATAACCCACCCATTTGGATCCATCCACCCAGGGTCATACCTTTAATGAGGCAGCCTGAGGCGGCATCTCTTTGAGTCACGTGGGCGTGCGGCAGGCAGAGCAGCACAATGTTTGCAGTGTGCCTTCTGCCCCCTTTCCGGCCAGAGTGTTCTAGGTGGCTAAGAGCTGGGTGGGGAGATGTATGAGGGCCATACGCATCTCCCCACCCAGCTCTTAACAACCTAGGACAGTCTGGCCAGCACCCCATTTAGCTCCTGGCAACCAGTGACATCACTGGTTGCCAGGAGCTGGGCGGGATGCCAGGCAGAGTGTCCCAGGTTGCTTAGAGCCGGGCTCTGCCGGCCCTGCAGATGTGTAGGTGGCAAAAAGGCTAGGGACACCCAAAACATAAAGGAGAACTTCATGATTTTTTAAAATGTGCTGGGTAACAAACAGTTAACTGTAATGAGGCGTAAGCCACCTCCAGGATCCCTGTCATTTCCTTAATATTTACTGTTTCACCGATGCAGGATGGTACAGTTTTCACTCTTCTTCTGGCCCTGCAACAGGAATGTTCTGTGAATTGACCGGGGAGAGAAGGGGCAGATAGTAAGGCTTTTGTATAGGAGAACCAGAAGTATTGCGAAATCTATACTTTCTGGCATCATGACAGTTAACTATTTGTTACCCAACACATTGAAAAAATCCAGGAGTTCTTCTTTAAATTTTAGCTAGCTTCTGTAATGTTAAATCAATGGTTTGATTTATCTTCCATTTCTGCACACCTGTTGCACAGTTGCAAATGGCCTCACTTTATCTGTTGGATTTTCATTACGAAGAATGCAACAAGAAGGGTGGGAACACCTTGGAATGTCAACCTATAGCAAAAATGTGAGCTTTGGGTGGACTATAGCGTTATGGTTAAAATCATTAAAAACAGAAATACAAATGAGAGGGGTATTGGACAAATACATTTATGCTTTGGACATCCCAATAGCAGCAGACAGTAGACATGTGCACTGCCAAATAATTTGTTTAGTTTCGTTTCGTTTTAAATTCGGATTTGTGTTATTTCGTTTTTCAGGATTCGGGTGTGAAAGTCAATTCGGATTCGGAATTCGGACGAAATTCGGTAGCGTTAGTACGAACGTTCGTTTCGTTTTCTGTTCTTATTCGTTTCTTATTCGTTTCGTTCGTTTGCAGCAAAAGTGACATTTGAGGGGGAAAAAATATTTTTCTCCTTCTCTAATGTCACTTTGCTCCAACGAACGAAACGAATAAGAAACGAATAAGAACAGAAAACGAAACGAACGTTCGTACGAACGCTACCGAATTTCGGAAATGGAAATTCGGATTCGTTTGCATTCGTTATGTCTGTCATTCGGAATTCGCATACATCCGAATGTCCGAAAATTCGTCCGAATTTCGATTCGGAACGAAACGGATCGCACATGTCTAGCAGACAGTTGGTTGTCCCATTGTGTTAACTAAAGTGCATGTGACTAGATCCAGCAGTGGCAGCAATTTCACAGGCTGATCAAATCTACTGTATGTAACAACACAGTCTACTCATTCTTATATAGAGCTAGGAACACTTCACTACTAACAGTGACATAAGTGAGCTATTATTTTCAATTGAGCTCATTCTGAAGCACAAGTGATGATAATGGTTACTAACAACTAAATAGACTGAATTCTCATGAATAAAGTTGGTCTAGAATGAGCCCTTTTTTTATTCAGGCCTGGGTTCAAAGAGTAGCATAATGATAGCATTGTTTCCCACCAGGAATATCACTAGTTATGTTAGTATGTTATATTAGTTATATTAGTATGGTCAGTTGTTGATTTTGAGGTTAAATGACCTTAAGGGCTCCTATTCCAAATAAAAACAGTACATTCTGTTGAAGAATAAAGGTTCTCCTTAGTGTCTCCATAAGAAGCAGATCTATGGTTATCCCAACAAACCTCAGGGTTCAAAGTACAGTTATAAGACCTAAGCCATTGGTTGCTACCCCAGTGCAATAAGTCCATAATGTAGATGTCTGTATTGGAAGTAGAACGTGGCTGTTTGTTTTGGAAGTAGAACATGGATTTCTGTTTGGAAGCAGAACGTGGCTCCCTGTATTGGAAGTAGAACATGGCTGTCTGTATTGGAAGTAGAACATGGATTTCTGTTTGGAAGCAGAACGTGGCTCCCTGTATTAGAAGTAAAACATGGCTCCCTGTATTGGAAGTAGAACATAGCTGCCTGTATTAGAAGTAGATGCTGAGTATGCTAATGTTCCATATTTTTCCTGATTTCATTGCTGATGTAATTATGGATTCTTCATCACTGACCTTATGCTTTCTCCATGTTCCTTGAATATGTGTGCAGAGAATTCAGTTCTACTGAGTGCTTGCGGTGTTCCTCTCTTTCACGCTCATGTTCTGGATCAAAGCTACCATGCAGGATGGACAGCCTATCTAAGAGGTTTTGTTCAGGTGGCATGAGAAGATAATTATAAATTAAGGCAGCAAAGATTGCACCGGACATGGGGCCTACCCAGAAGACCTGTGATTAAAGATAAGTAGAAATTAGATGACTTCAGTACATTTGGTTGACAGGATCAAGTTAACAAGACCACTCAACTGCAATTATTAGTAATTGGGTGCAGTTATTTGTATTTGTGTTTAAATGAAAAGTAAGTAGGATACATTTTATTTTGTTCTCACTGCATCTCTATATAGCTACTGTTCCCTGCACACAGTACATTAAACATTCATGTCAATTAGCCTTCTGAACATAAGGGTTGAAACTGGGTTGGACTGGACGCTACGGCATGGCAACATTGTTTCATTGTAGGGCCCATTCACACCAGACACTGCACTTACCACAGAGCGTACGGTGCCCCAGCACAGTGCCAAAGTGCTGATTCCAGCGCATTGCACTGTATTCTTTTTTTTTGTTAGAACTTTATTGAAATGTCACAAGTGACATTTCATTCAGTTCTACAGGCACAACTGGGTGCAAGGCGGTAGTACCGCGTTGCATCCCGATGTGCTGAAAAAAAGTACAGCATGCCATACTTTTTTTCAACGCACACCACTGCGTTCCCATCGCAATGCTATGAACCAAGCCCGTCCGTGACAAGGCAAATTTCCTTGTCTTGGAAACGTTGGCCACTGCAGCTCCAAAGCAGATAGTGTGAATGGCCTCTAATGTTCACACTGGCAAGATTTCTGTAAAGATGGGAATATTGTGCTTGTTTCGATGAATGTGCTTTAAAAGATTTTGTACTTTTCAATTTATATATCTACAGTATGAAGAATATGAAATAGAATTAAACTGAAAATAAAAACAAATAGGTCTTAACTTATTGTACAAGAGGCTGGTAGTTTTGCGATTTGGTGCTCTGGAGAGGTAATACAATCAAAGTTTTAAACATCCTTACCCAATGTGAGTCAAAATTTCCCATAATTATAGCAGGACCAAAAGACCTTGCAGGGTTCATGGAACAGCCAGTGAAGTAAATCTAAACACAAGATAAACCATAATTGAAAACAATTAGATACTAAACATCTGCAACAATACTAGATAGCAAATTAAAATATATGTAAACCCAATATGTAAAATCTCATATAATTTTTAACATGTTAATGTCATTTTGAAACAAATGTTCAATATGTTTAAATCTGCAGCTCTAAAGTAGTATTAAGGACTGGGCGCTTTTTACCTCAATGTATTGTCTGCATTAGGGTAAAAACCACCCAGTACCTTTCCCCCAACTGCGGGTACAAGCGCACACACAGCCAATGGAGGCACTTGTGCAGGGTGCGGGGAAAGGGACCCACTTAAAAATTGGGAATTTAAAACTTTGAAAGAAAAACGGCAACAGCCTCAGACAAAGGTGGGCCTCCTTGTAGCAAATATTTTTTTAAAAAGGAAGCTTTAATATCACTTTAAGTAAAATAATAACTTGTGATCCTGCCATGAAGGATCTTGTGCAGGCACTGTTATATTCTATTGCATTGTCAGCTTGTCTGATGGGTTTCCTAATGAAGACTACAAGTGGCTGTTTCAAAACACATTACACAAGTATAGCCCACTATTGTCACCATTAGGAAACCCTCCCTGAGAAATGCCATGCAGCAATTGCTGGAGTGCATGCATGTAGACAGGAAGTGGCTAAAAATAGGCTGCAGGTGATCATTAGTGCTGAGATGCAACCAAGATAAAAAATACGTGTGAAAACAAGTATTCCTTTTTCTAAAGGAGATTGCTTATAATATTCAGTGCTTTAACAAAGTAAATTACATTCTACTTTAAATAATCACTGGTGATAGTGTCTCTGTAAAGGTCTCCCCAGAACCCTTTTCCTTGCCTTACCTGTTCTCCCTCGCAGATCCTTGCTCCCCAGCAGCTGTTGAAGAAATCCAGACCTTATGGTGTTTGGGCATAGCAGCCAATCACTAGACCTGAGCAACATCATATAATTGGGGCAATTAAAGCACTGCTCCCCTGGTTCGCTGACACAGTCAATCCTAGTTCTAGCTGTAGAGTAGCAAGGAAGATCAGGTAAGGTGAGTGTAGGGGGTAAGTGATGCCATTTCCAGAGACACAGTAACCTTGCCCTGCATTGGCAAGGAAAAAGTGTGTTTTTAAGCCTGGGCCACATTTACTATGACAATCAGCTCCATGCGTCTTGCATATATAAATTTTGTAAGCAACTAAAATGCTACTACACACATTGCATGTCAGCTACATATAGTAAAGTACCACTTTTTAATGTACATCAGTGACAGTGGTGATAGTTATGTTGTTGGGTATATTAGTAACAGTAATGAGATGCTGTCAATTAATTGCAATGAGACAGATACAAACACTATATGGCCAAAAGTATGTGACCCTCCAAATTAGATTAGAGTCCGGATGCACAAAGCTAGGTCCATAAAGACATGCTATGATGGGTGTAGCATGGAGGAACGTGAGTGGCCTGCACACAGCCCTGACCTCAACGTCATGGAAAATCTTTGGGATAATTTGGAATGCTGATTGTGAGCCAGGTTTTCCTGCCCACCATCAGTACCTGATCTCACATGCTGATGATCTTTTGACTGAATTAATAAAAATCTTGTGGAAGCCTTCCCAGAACAGAGACTGTTATATCTGCAAAAAGGAGGCCAACTCTATTTTAATGCCCTTGGTTTTGGAATGGAGTGTCCAACAATGTAGGTATGATGGGCAGGTGTCTAAAAAAGTTTGGCCAAATAGTGTATCATGTAAGCAGTATTTGGGAGTAATACAGAAAATGTGAGATGAAGTGGATGAACCTGGAGAGATAATAGCTCTTAGTTTCAGATGTTAAAAACAAAGGTCCAGCCAAACCCATTAATCTGGTAACATCTGCCCAATGGATATTTTTGTCACCTTCTGAGAGTGTTCTCCCAACTCTTTCATCATTATTCTTTCATCTCTATGAAGATAGCTTTATTAATCAACCTATCATAGTACTGATATTGTTTAGAAAATAACCACTACATGGAAGAAGAAGACCTCCACTTTTGACAATTGCTGTCAGCAGTTAAAGTATGTTTAAACCCAATCATTCAACTCTTCTATAAATTGTAACTTATATATTTATTTACAAAAGTTGTTTTCTATCAATTTTATTTTCCAACCAACAGGTGGAGCTCTAGTCTCCTGCTCACATATTTACCAGGCGAAGCCTAATAGCTTTGCTGAAAAACCTGTAAGGTCAACATACAAACACAGCTGATTGTGAGAAGTGACTTATTATCCACCTTCCTGTTCTGTAGGGCTCACTTCAGACTTTTAAAAGGTCTAAAACAATATTTTAAAATATAAAAAAGGACAAGGATGCCCGAAACTATTGTATGTCTCATGAGAATGATCTGAGAAATAAAGAATTAAGCAGCAATGAGAAACACATACATATACACACACATACATACAATATCAGTTTAAACATGTACTGTATATAATTACAAAAATAAATAAAGAGCGACCTCATATCATTATATTTTTATTTAAACAAGCTGCAGCACAGATTGGTTGTTGTTTAATTACATACCCCAAGTAAATGTCCTAATGCAACTGAAAAACCAATCGATAAGGCTGGGGATCCCGTATTGTCTGTTCTTCTGATGTCTGTTGTTCCGAAAACACACAACACAAGCTGCATGGTAAGGAAGAGCTCCACAGCAACAGCCTGACCAGAGGTGGTACTATTACTAACCTGAAGATACATAGCAAACACAGTATTAATGTAACATACAGAATACATTATTCCTGTGGCATACTTGAATTACAATTCCACACTGGAAAGTGTTATAGTCAACATACTAGCAATTCTATATATATTATTTTCCAAAAACGTAAAGGGATCAGTCTACCCACAACTAGTATTTCATTTTTTGGTAGATGCAAAGTTTTGTGTTCCTGCCAGGACTCTAGTGGTGAGATCTCTGTGGCTGCTGTGACAGTTATCTCTTGTACCTTTCATTTTTGTTATAATATAGAAACATCCTTGTATAAAGCGTATTGAGGATTCAATGTAGGTAGAAAAAAAGAAGCTAGACACTTTGGTATCGAGACCAAATGTAATTGACCAAATATAGCAATGTGGCCCTATAAGGTCAATGGTTTCACAGAATCCTGGGCCCTTTTCTTCTGTGCAGCTCCTGGTGAGGAATTCCCTGGCCACAGCTGATTGGCAGCAGCAGAAGGAGCTTCTTTCCATGTTTGGAGGAGCTCCAAACACTGCCATGGGGAATATCTACTGATGCAAAAACTTACCTACAGCAAGGAGAGGGAGTTTATATTATGCTTTGAGATCTACATTAAAGATACACAAATCCTTTCAATTACATATTTGGGGATGTGATAAAACTGTACATGGTGAGAGGAGGAGTGCTAAAAGGGCAGATTAGCAATGTTGGCAGAAAATTGCCTACTCCGCTCCTGGAGGGATATAGGTGTAGAAACTTTTGTCCATTTGTTTACTATCTGTTGGGTGAGCTATGTCTGTATCGGCTTGGCACTTTGAGAAAAAAAGGAGTATATGCCATACTTCCAGGCTGTATGGCCCTACCACCTCTTTATTCTGCAGGACCTTATTCCCCCCTTCCCCTCAACCCTATACTGCCACATACTGCATCTTTGCCTCTTATTTGAGACCTGCTTCTCATTGTATTATTTTTTGGAATATGAATGTTGGGGGGGGGGGGGCTAATGTGTGCTGCCTTTGATGGACACCAGTTAGCACACAGCAATGAGTCAGTGTGCTAGATACAAAGGGCAGCTCTAACATCTGTTCAGCAACAAGTATATACTGCACACCCCATACTTAGGAATAGGCTCTAGCAAGACAAACTCAAATAGGATAATCCCTCACCAAATTTTTTTTTTTAATAAAACAATAAAATAAAAGATAAGAAGTTTCCTTTAACATGCCCACAGTGTCTCTCTGCTATTTTCAACTTCTAAAGTAATTAGAAATAAACTGTGTTGCACTGTTGCAGTTTAATAACTAGATCCCCTACCATCATTACAGTCTACTGGAACATCCATCCTCGCTTCTATATCTTATACCACCTCTTTGTTATGGATGTTAAATAAGTAAATGTAAAGGACAGTGGTATTATTGTACAAAGTCCTCCTCCAAGTAACCTATAGATGGCAGATTGGACTTTAGTGACACTAAACTCAGGAGTTTAATCTTAAAAAATCATTCAGGTAACTTAACTATTAATAATACTGAACCTTATTTGTGCATCACCCAGCTGTAGATCCTCAAATCCCTCCATACATGGTCCCTGTATGTGTTGTAAAGTAGTCACCGCTCCAAGCTCACTCCTGTGATGGACTACAATCTCATGTTTAGTTTACTAATTTGTATTGAAATTGTAGCGCATCACGGGAGTGAGCTTGGAGCGGTAGCTACTTTACAACACACACAGGGACCATATGAAACAAAAGTCGCCCCCCTCCAGAAGGAAGGACAGTGTCAGCACCAATTCAGAGATGACTTGATGATCTACAGCTGAGTAATGCACAAATAAATTACATTTGCTGTATGTTAATAGTTAGGGTACTTGAATGCATGCTTAAGATTTAATTCCTGAATTTAGTGTCATTTTAAAAGTCAGATTGACTGCTATGGATCAGTGCATGTTGAATGTACTTCTTGCTTTATCCCACTTGACTATAATAATAACAAGTTTAAAGATTTATATAGAAGACTGCTGATCTCATACATTTCAAGTTGCTGTTCCCAAACAGCCCTCCCACTATTCACTCACCGAGTTGACACCGAAGCTCCCTCGTACATTGGATGGGGTGAACTCATAGAGTAAGCCAGCTCCAGCCACCGCTCCCATCATCTGAGCCAAGATGTAGAAGACACACTTCAGGATTGAGATCTGCGATCCCACCAGAAAGCCTAACGTTACAGCAGGATTGATGTGAGCACCACTGACATGACCTATTGTCTGAACCAGCGTTGCTATAGCTAGCCCAAAGGTTAGAGAGATCTGGAGTATAGTGGGCAGTGCTGAGGGCCATTGTAATGCACTGCCAAGACCAAAAAACACAAATAACAGTGTGCCTAAAAATTCAGCTAGAACTGCCCGTGAAAAGGCACCCGAGCACAGATCTCTCAGCATGTTTCTACCAAAATATTATTTGTAAAGCTGTGCACTGGTATACGCTATGCTATAGGTCATTGCAATGACAATGGGACTGCAATTATCCCGGTATATATCTCTTAAGGGTGGAGAAAAGCATTCCGCGTGCAGGTGTGGACTGCTCAACATATAATTACATATTTCAATGTATTTCAACAGTCGAAGCAGTTTATTTCAGATGAAGGTATACAGTATATATCCTGTGTGAACGTACAAGCATTTGACAAAAAAGACCACAACCGATATAGAGAGATCAAGCCAACCGATGTGCAGCTGGACAAGCCAAGCACATAGCACAAGCACATAAAGCCAAGCACATGCTGGTGGCCTGCACATTGTTGTGCACACAAAGCACACTCAGGAGGTAAATAGAGGTCTGTCTGCTCTTGTCAGCGTGTGCCAGGATGTCAAGCTGTGTTATGACACGCTTGCTCAGCATAGAACATTTGTGTGAAATAGGGAATATGTTCTGTTTTAAAAGGAACATGTAGTGGTTTCGTATTTATTTTCTTAAAGGAGAACTATGAGGGGAGTGATTTCCACTCATCCTCATAATTAGAGCCGACCAGTGACGGAGCTGTCACAGGTCTGCTCTATTGATTGGATAGTGAGCAGAAACATGCACCGATCTGCTCACTTCCCGATCGTTTCCCTGCAGGGAGCGGACTGTCAGTCACCGCTCCCTGCAGGGATTTTCCCCTTCCCTCTCCGATCCCCTAGCGCATAGTGGAGGAATGAACGGTGGGAGGGGGTGGGCATAGTATTGTTGGGATCCGTCCTGGCTGCGGTACTCTCAGTAGCACGCTATATACTGAGCTTTGGGTCATGGGAGGACATTACTATATGTCCTCCCGTGACCCTAAAGAGAATTATGGGGAAAAACACTTACCCCATAGTTCTCTTTTAGTTTGGCAAGGACTAAAAAATTAAACACTTACAATTTTTGTACTTTTATTTTTTAGTCAGGTAAATATGAAATATTTTATATCAATATTTTTTTTTTTTTTTTAGACATCTGTCACTGTCACATCAACCTGTTGTTTACAGGCTTTGTAGCTCAAGCTGTGATTTATACACAGAACCGAACGACTCATTCCTTATCAGATGCCTCTGCCCCAGTATACAGTCAAACAATGGCAGATGCCAGTTAAGCTGGGCAGTGGCGGAACTACCGCCAGTGCGGCCGCACCGGGGCCTGGGCCTACAGAGGGGCCCCAGTATCCATTCAAACACAGCCCCGGGGCAGAGATGGGGGGGCCTGTTGGTGTCCGGCCGCTGGTTACCATTGGATCGGTATGCGGCGGGCCCCCCCATCTCTGCGCCGGGAGTGTCTGTTGATCACATTGGTGTCCGGCGGCTGGCGGGCCCCCTCATCTCTGTGCCGGGAGTGTCCTAAAAATAATCTTGCACCGGGGCACTTTGTTCCCTTAGACGGTAACCCATGAACTTGCCAAAATTTGACTCCTCGGTTCGGGTGCGTATAACTTTTTTTAGTACCTATACAAAAACAAGCAGTTAACCCTTCAAGTGTGGAGGTAACAAAAAGTTATTTTTAAAAATATTTTGACAGGCCTACTGTCCAGATACAGTAGCCGCAGTGGGAGATTCTTCTATCCATGCTGTTTAGCATAGATGGAGGAACCTATAACTATTTTTCCATTCAGCTTGCAGAATGAACGAAAACAATCTGTAGGTATATAGCCAGCCTTAGTTCGCTACTGCTGTGTTGTCCCTTTAGACAACCAATTGTGCTCTGGGAATCCTTTGTCCTGTATTAAATATTATTTGTAAAGCAAACGTTTTATACATACACTATACCAAAATATCAGTTTGAAATCTTATGATTTCACCATGGTGAAAACTGCACTTGTTTTATAACGCAACACATGGCAATGCATAGCCCTCCGCTGCAGAATGCTATAGTGAAGGTGCATTACCTTAGTGAGTTGGGATGTCATTCAAAATGAATGGCACCGCAACGCATAACTTGTGGATGGTGCGACATCATGCATTGCAGTCATTTATGTATTTTGAGGTGGGGGAAAGCCATATTTTCACATTAAAAGTTCAGGTTCTACTTCTGGCTTTGTGGCGCTGCACAATATATCAGTGCTTTGCTGATAGCCTTATCTCATTTCAAGTATACCACAACAGAGACTATCTGCAGTTTTAAATTACATGAAACACCCACAATGCTTCTGTAGCTATAGACCATATGATCTCTAAGGGAGTTATTCACTAAGCTGCCGAAGGCAGCCAAGTGAGTAACCGAGTCGAAGTGAAGGAGCCGAACTCTGTTCGGCTATTCACTACAGCCGAGTACAGCTGATTTCAGCCGTACATCAGCTGGCTTCAGCTCCCTTCAGTTCAACCACCATGCTGCGCCGAAGTGAATAACCTGTTCAACTAAGCCGATCCTATGAGAACATATTATCATAGGGGCCGAACAGCAGGGAGTGAATAGCCGAATGCCACATTTGGCCCGGTTATTCTGCTCGCTACCTCGAAAATGTAAAAAAATGTACATGTTAATAAAAGAAAAAGAAAAACGGCGTGGGGCCCACTCCCAAACCAAACCCTTTAACTTTACCCTTTAGGTCTGGTAGTAAAGTTACAGGGGACCCCAAGTTAAAAAGTAAAAAAAAAGTGCATGGGGCTGCCCCAAAAGTCATATCGGACCCTTTTTGTTCTGGTAGGAATTTTAAGGGGGAACCCCACCCCCAAAATACGGGGGGGGAAAAAGGTTGGGTCCCCCCTAAAATTACCAACCAGAACCTTAATCTGAGCACAGGCCTGGCAGGGCAGGAAAGGGGGGGGGACAAGTGAGCGCCCTCCCTGCCCATACCAGGGCACATGACCACGACATTGGGAAGGTGCTTTTCCAGGGGCCCACCGGAAAAGCACCTTGTTTCCATGCCGATGAGGACACGGGCCACTTCCACCACAACCTTGACCCAATGGTTGTGAGGATCTGCGGGCAAGGGGGCTTATTTGCATCGGGGTACTCCCTTTAATAAAGAGGGCACCCAGATGCTGCCCCCCCTTGTGAATGAGTAAGTTGTCCATTTACCCCTACTCATTCACTGAAGGGTTAAAGGAAAATGTAAATAAAGAGACCACACTTTTAGGAAAAAATACTTTAATTGAAAAAAATTACAATAAAAGAGATTTTCCTTTACTTTTAGTCATAGTGGAGACACCAACAGTATTATAATTTTAATTGGGTCACTAATCCTTCCCTATATTTCCAAAACAAAAAAAAAATGGTTTTGGATACACTTTAACTCCCAGGGGACAGACATTGAGCTCCTCTGTTTAGTGTGTGCCCAGTCCCCAGGGGCTCCCCAAATCCACAACAATGGCTTTAAGGATTAAAAAGCTAGATAAAACCAATGATAAGCTAGAATATATAAACTAAAATACGTTTCTGCAATGCTACGCTCAAATATACACGTTCACCTGTTAAATAAAACCATTAAAAGCAGAACAATAAAAAGGAGAAGTGTTTTTACACTGACTGAAGTTGGCGTGATTTCATTTTGTCTCCGAGGGTATACTCTGTATAATCAGGCCAGGCGGCAGATACAAGTACGGAATCTTTGATCCGATCTAAATTTGTGAGCATGTCCAAAACATAGTCATCCTCTGACATTATTGTACGTTCCTTCTGTTTGTTATAAGCGATGAGAACCATTATACATGCAGTATAAATCATGCAAACCTATAGACATTTTCACCCAAACAGAACTGACCTTTGCAAAAAAGGATCACCAATCTAGTAGAAATGATATCAAATGTACATTATCTGTACAATTATTATGTACACACAGAACCTCACAACCACACTCTAATGCATAAAAATGATTAAAAATAATAATTCATTAATTCATTAATTAATACGAATATTTGTAGCCTTTTTCTTTACAAATAGCAAATTGACCCTCTAATATTCTATACATTATCACTAAATAAAAAAGGCACTATAGTTTGTTTATTGTGTGTGATCACCTTGATCCTTACGGAGAAATGTCTGATGTATCTAAATATATCTGGGACAAACCCTAACAGTAAATCATTTGTTCCTTAGTTTCCTATATAAAACATTATAAGTGCTACTGTACTAAATACATCAAGTAAAAGCATAGACCCATTAATTAATCATATCATTAAACATAATTGATAGCCATAGTTATAGATCTATTAAACCAATCATTAATCACCGTAAAATGTAATTATATATAAAGCATTTCATAATTGATTGAATATAATTTATAATATGATTATAGGTATTATAGGTAAGAAAGTTCAAGATTAGTGATAAACAAAGCCCCATGACAAAAGTTATTAAAGGAGAACTACGAGGTGAGTGATTTTCACTCAGCCTCATAGTTCGAGCCGACATGTGACAATAAAACTGTCACATGTCGTCTCAATAGATCGGGAAGTGAGCGATCATATACCGGCGCTCGCTCACTTCTCGATCCTGTCCCTGCAGAGAGCCGTCACTCACGGCTCCCTGCAGGGATTCCCAACTCCCCGCTCCGATCCTCCAGCGCTGACTTGCAGAACGGACGGGTGAGGGGGCAGGTACAGCTGGCTCTGCCTCTAGATAGGCAGAGCCAGCTGTCAATCACGCAGCTGGGTGGATCTCGACAGTAATGTCGGGATCCATCCCGGCTGCGGCGGTCTCAGTATACCGCGAGCTACTGAGCTTTGGGTCACGGTAGGGCGCTTGTTTGTGTCCTTCCCTGACCCTTAGGAGAACTATGGGGAAAACACTTACCCAATAGTTCTCCTTTAAAAATACCAGATTTCACCTCCTTCAAAATATAAAAATTCATGACCACCAAGCAATCAGAATAAGCTAATAATTCATCCAGTGTACCGCCATAAATCCTATCATGATATTTTACCTGCATAGGAAACAAAATTGCATGTGTTAGCATTACCATAAAAAAATACCTCTTCCTTGCCATGAATACAAAAATGCGGCTTTGAGCTCCAAGTTGATGTCTCTAGCTAACAGGAACATTGTGGTTATTT